GCCCCCGGCCCGGCCCGTTCCCTGCAGGCCGGTCTTCCGATCCGGCGGCGCAGTGCGGTCGCGGTGGGGGACCTGCGCTCCCTGCAGGCCACGGGTGATGCTGAAGCGCCGCGAGTATCGTTCACTTCCGAAGCCTCCACCTGATCGCCTAAGCGGGGATGGGGCTTTTTACGTTGACCTGGCACCCTGATGAATTATAGCATGGCCGTGTAGGGATGGAATGCGAATGCCTGGTGTTATTTCTGGCAAGGGCTGAAACCTTGAAGTGCTATTCTGTATAAGCCTACTTAGAATTAAACCTCATTCTGATCATTGTGTTTGGTGTCAGGTAGGGGAATAAGGGATTGTACCCTTGGAGAATAGATGCCAGCTTTGCATAATGTTTATTATTAAAATGTTTGGGCTGTTTTGTTTATTTGTTTCTTCCAAATGGTCCCCAAAGTATCATGCAGTCAAAATCAATTGCAGTACAATGGTAGAACATTAAATGCCAAATAACTGACCTATAGAAAACAATAACAGAAAATGAAGTACTAGATCCAGGTGTTTTTTTTTTAAATAGCTGATGTGAATCTAAACTCAGTGCCCATTTGAAGAAAATGCCCTTCACAATTATGCAGTTTAGGAGGGAGGGAACAAAATGAGTCAGGGAAAGAGAGCTCCAGTGTTGGGTGCCATTACGAAGAAAGCTCTGTTTCTTTATACCCTGACTTCTATTTTTTAATAAGGAAGGAAGAGTGGCTTCCTCAAAAGCATTCCTAGGGATCCACATTAACAGCATAATCTTGTGCATTCATGTCAAGGTAAATCTCATTGATTTCCATTACTGAGCAGACACTTCTAGGATTGTTTTGTTTAATCTGTAATAGGAAAGACCTACTGCAGACCAGCCATCTACTCCCAGGCAAGCTGACCTTCTGCATAAGAGGAGGATGCGCTTTTTAAACAATCAGTGCAAAAATGTTAATCATCTATATTTGTATTCTTGCTCAGAAATAAAATTGCAAACTAAGATATGTGTCAATGCTACAAAAAGCGAGCAGTTAAATTTTGCAGAGTAAGCTCTGCTTCTCAGTGTACAAGACAACATTGACAGTACGTCCTCTGTGGGTGCCACTTCGGAGATCACAAGAAGTGACCTCTGAGGAAGAAAATGGGGGAGCACGCGAGGGCGTGTGGTCACCTCAGAGAAGGTGGCTCTGCCCAGTCTCCTGGGAGGCCTCTGGGAGGACCATGTGGGAGGTGGGGGGAGACAGCCCCCTGCAGTCCTGGTTGCCTTTTGTCTGCATGTGTTGTTCGCAGGGTGGCTGCCTGTGGCGCACAGACCCGTCCACTGTACGTCACTTCCATGAATGGCACGTCCTGTGCCCTCTGCATAGGGGTCAGTCAGTTGATCAGCTTTCTTGTGGTGTTCCTTTGCATGGAACTGTATTTTGAAAGAGCCCTTTTGAACCTGTCAGCATCCATGCCAGAGGATCTGGATGTTGGAGGAATGGTCCAACTCCCTGCCCAGAGCAGGACTCAAGTCATCCATCCAGATTTCAGCCTGGCCCAACTCTGCTTAGCTTCCAAGATTAGGCAGGATCAGGCTCCTCGGGCTATGCAGAAGCTATCTGGTTTGCGCCGTCAGAATTACACAGATCCAGTTAGGTTTGTACAAAGTACTGGAGGTTTTTGTCTCGTTACACAGCATCACGGAAACGCTGCATTTAAGTATTATTACATTTTCCCCTTTATTTATTTAATTTCTGTGCTACCCTGCAGCTACAGCTCTCTGGGCGATTCTGTCTTGTATTATTTGGGATGCAGCACAGCCATTAGAATCAAAAATTGTTGTGCACCGGGACTGTTGCAGCATCCCTTCTAGGTAGGGAATGGACCAGCTGGCCGCTCTCAGTGGTGACTGTGACTGAAACGGAAACCGAGCCATCCCGTCTTGCAGCTTGCAAAGTTAGGAAGAATGGACTCCCCTCCAGGTCCTTTCTGTCTCCCCATCAGCAGCAGCAGGGGCCGCAGAGCACTTCGGGCCCCAACAGTCCAAACCCCGCAAGAGTCCTGAGCCTTAACCAGGAATAAATGTCAGGTGACGTTCCCAGGCACCCTTCCCTTATTATTATGACCTCGCTAAAATGTCACAGCAAGATTCCAGGTCAAAAATGGCTCTGCTGTGACATCACTGGGCTCGCGCTCCACGTTCTTGCCAGAATCCAGAGCAAGATTCAGGGCTTCCGCAGAGTGCGTGATTTCCCACCCGCCCTCCATTCTGGGGCGACCCCAAGTGGACCAGTGCTGCATTATGCAGCATTCGGTACAACCCTGACCTGCCATCAGCACCAGTGGATGATGCTCCACAGGACCCTGCTGTGCAGCGCCCCTCTGCGTTTACAAGCCCTCCTCTCCCCATGGCCTGGGGACACCACCTGCCCAGTCCCCTGTGTGGAAAGCTGCTTTTTCCTGATTTAGTGGTGGGTGGAAGGCGGATCTCCATCGTTTCTAGCATAGCAGAAACACAGCTTTGTGTCATGTCGCTTCGTCCCTCACCCCCTTTGCACGCACTTGGATTGCTGGTTAATGCTAAAGGCTTGCCTTGCATCCCTTCTGCCCAATCCAGCCTTCCTGGCAGCTTGGGAAAAACGACTGTGGGAAGTGGCCAGCAGAGGAGGGGATTTTGAACTGAACGCAGAGGCTAATGGGGACTGCCTGCCTTTCTGGGCACCATGCTTCTGAGGATGCAGCTCCCACTCCTTATTTAAAAGAACTCTTCAGCACACAGATACAGCAAATCAAGGGCATAAGCATAGGATGCAGTGGGGCGGGGGGAGTCTGGAAAGTCACTTGGCGTCTTGGTGGATCACAAGCCAGTGGTGGCGGCAGAGAATGCAAGAGAGCTTTGGGCTGCGTGCACAGAAGTCTGGGCGCCAGGGGAGGAGTGGGATCCCGAGCCTGCTTTGGGGTTCCCTGTTTTAGGGAGGACATCAGCAAGTGGGGGGCATCCAGAGGAGTGAGACCAGGATGGTGCAGGGTCTAGACAACAGGTCCAGTGAGGAGTAGTTGACATGGCCAAAAAGATGGAAGGGTCGGATGTGGAGCAGACCTCTGGGAGCAGGACAGAACCAACAGGAAGCAGGTTTAAATAAACGTGGGGGATTTTCACAGGGAGGGCTGTTCAGCAATGGGACGGTTGTCTTGGGGGGCACAAAGCCTGCTTTGGGTGAGTGTGATTCGAAGGAGGACAGAGACGGCTGCCGTTCCCCATGGAAGGAGAGGTCAGATGAGACGCCTGTTATCTTTTCTGTGGTTGCTGGAAACAGCCCCAGGGAGGCATCAGGGCTGTAGTGCAGCAGAGTGGATTAACCTGTTCCTGCCTGTGGCAGCTCCCCTGCAAACCCCCATCCCACCCTGAACCACTGTTAGCTGCAGGTGGGGAAACAGGCAGGCCTCTGGGCCCATCTGCCTTGCCCCATGTGGCTAATGGGCAGTGGGTGGGTCAGCCCTGCCCCTGCCTCACTGCAGTCCTGCCTGAGGTCGCTCCATTCCCGCCCTGCTCCTGCCTGGGAACGAGAAGGCCCTGGAGTCACATTTGCGCGCCTCTCTCCTTTGGTGTGGCAGTTCAGTCTCGTTGACAGAATTGGCGTCCGAATCCGTGGCGTTGCATTTGTGTCCTCTGCCTGTCGTGGCCTTTCCCTTCCTCCGTTGCTGGAGCTTAGCCAGGGCAGGAATGTTCCTTGTGCGGTTTCAACAGTTGGTACCAGAGAAGGTCCCAGGAGTCTGTGTGGTGCAAATTAAAATCTCACACACCCAGAAATGTGAAGAAAACCTGGAAAGGCAGCTGCAAGAAGAGGGCTATTCCCATTGTGTTTAGAAAATGTATTTAGAGAAAATGCTTTCATTTGCCCCTTTGAGGGGATTAAAAACCTGCTTGGAAAGCTACGGGTTGCAGTTACCTTGAGCAGAAAATCCAAACATTTTCTCTCTGAACATGTTGGCGCTTTCTCATCCATGCAGCTGTTCTTTTGCGTGTGTTATTTTCTCTGTGGGTCTGCAGCTGTTTCGTCCCCTTATTTGTGTGTTCGTGAGGCACTGCTTCAGCCTGCCTCTTCTGAGCAGGGGAAAGACAGGCCTGGCCAGGCGGGCCTGCTGGGTCAGGGCCCAGGGAGCAGAGCAGCATAAATGCTCGTATGCAGCTCACAAGCACCACTCTCCCCGTGTCGCTGTGCACGAGAATGGTCCAGGGCATCGGGCCCCTCTTTGCCGGGCTGGGCATTTCTTTGGCGGGGCCACTGCAAGCACCAGCACTGGCCCCATGCATCTCTTATGGCCTTTCCAGTGCTTCTTCCAAAACAGGAGTAGGGAATAGTAGCTGCTACTGAGCATGTTTTGAAAACACTCCAAGGACTTGGACCCGTGTTCTTCAGGGGACCGGGATTTCACTTTTCATGGCTTTCTTTCCTCCAGGCTCCGTGAAGGATGGAATCAAACTCTGTACGGAGTAAAGTGCCCGCTTTCTTATCAGACCTTGGGAAGGCCACCCTACGGGGCATCAGGAAGTGCCCCCGATGTGGCACCTACAACGGGACCCGTGGGCTGAGCTGCAAGAACAAGACCTGTGGGACAGTCTTCCGCTATGGCACGCGGAAGCAGGCCGGGGTGGATGCGGTCAGAGTCATCACCGGCTCCGAGCTGCAAGTCTACTCCGTGCGGCAGAGGGAGCGGGGGCCAGATTGCCGGTGCTTTGTGGAGCTGGGCATCTCAGAGACCACCCTCCAGGCCGTGGATGGGGCCATCGTCACGCAGCTCAGCTCCGGCCGCTGCCACGTCCCCTCGTGCTTGGAAGCAGCCGCCCAGGGGCTCGTGGAGAACCAGTGCCAGCACATCAAACTGGCGGCGAACTGCCAGGCGGAGGCCACGCCGCTGACCCTGAAAAGCTCCGTCCTGAGCGCCCTGCAGGCACCGCCCGAGGCGAAGCAGGCCGTCTGGCGGCTGGCCGCCGAGCCCGGGGGCCCCCTGGTCCAGCGGGTCTCCAAGAGCACAATGGTGGTGAAGTGCGCCGCCAGCCCGAAGCACGGCTTGGGCTACCTGCACACCTCCTTCGCGCGCAGGGCTGGCCCCCGGGGCGCGGTGCAGCACCGCTCTCTCTGCTCCTGCCAGCCCTCCACGCCCAGCCAGGCGAGCGCCACCCCGGAAGCGGCAGGCCAGCGATGCCTCCACTTCCTCGCCTGCCTCTGCGCCTTTGCCAGCGATGACGCGCTGGCGCAGGAATTTGCCGGCTTCCTCAGCTGTGATTCCAGCGGTGCGTAAGGGCGGGGGGCGGCGGCACAGCCTCGTGTGCGAAGGGCGAGCCTCCTCTTAGGGCCGTGTGGGGAGAAGCAGGGGTGGCCACTGGCCCGGCTCCCAGGGCTTCCCAAGTCCACCACACTGGCTCTTGTGAAGACCTGGAATGAGGTGTTCTTGTCGGGAGGGGACACGGAGCAGTTTTGTGGAAGACTGCCTCCATGCGTTCCGTTTAAGCAGAGGGGCACGAAAAGCACGCGCCTCAGACCACGGGAGTTCTGCAAAGAGGCCTGGCGTGTCTCTGCAGGGCCAGGCTGCCGGAGCCCCCGCAGTCCCCCTGGGGAGGCTCGAAAGGAAGGGATCAAGGAGGACGCGTCGCACTGACTTTTCGTGGTGAGAAGTGTAGGTTGTTGCAGACAGTGGGCTCAGCCTCTCCCCTTCCACAATCCCAGGTCTGCAGCCAATGATAGGAGCCGAGCTCGTTTGCTATCCCGGAACTGTTCTGTACTCGGGAGATGCCGTTGCCTCCAAGGCGAAGAGGAGGAGAAAGGATGAGGGCTTAGGTGAGAGCCTGCTCCTCGGGCGTGTTCTTGTGTGCATCTGTGTGCCACGATCCACGTCCACGCAGGTGGCGCGCTCATTGGCGTTCACGACGCAGACGAGCCAAGCGGGGCCGGCTGCAGGACGGGCGTTTCCTGACAGGCCTCGGAAGTGCCAGCGAGCTCTCCCCGTGGGGGGCATGGGTGGGAGATTCGGAGCAAAAAAAGGGATGGGCGTCTTCGCACAGTACCAAGTGGGAACTATGGAGTTCGCTGCTGCAGATGTCGTGTGCTTTGCAGGGGATTCCCAGCCCCCTTTGGAGGAAGTTCCCTGAGAAAGACCCAGACAGGCAGTCTGAAAGACCAGGAAGGGAGGGGCAGGATAACCTGGCCCCGAGCTGCTCGGGGCTTTGCATGTTAAAACAAACACTCTGAATTGGGCCCAGACTTCGCCTGCGGCTGGTGCAGCTGGTGGGGAGGGGGCTGGCACAACACGGCTCTGGCGGACTGGTCCCCTTAAAAGCCGCGCTGCTTCGTTCTGGACCAGCTGGAGCTTCCGGGCAATTTTCAGGAGCAGCCCCACACAGGGCAGGTTGCAGTTGTCCACCTGAGAGGTGATCCTTCTCCGAACAGATATGGTTTAAGAGTTTGCCATTTTGCACCACTGTACTTAGCTGCAGCATTCTGACGTGGATAAAACTTAAGCATCTAAAGCTGTTTAAACATTGAATTTAAGGTTCGCAAGCAAATAGCCCCCTCTTGTCTCAGGATCTGGCAAACAGCAACCTGCGCAAAGGTGGACTGAAAAAGTCAGCTGTGTCGCTGAAAAGGCAAGGTGAGTGCCGTTGCAGCCTGTTCAACGAGGCGGTGGATGTTTCGCAGGCGCGCACGCTCGGAAGCAGCTGTGTGGGGGCACAGCAGAGGCAGGTGGAGGCGTTCCCACCCACGCTCCCCCTCGGCGGGCAGTTTCTTTCCTTGCAGGATTGAGCGCGGTGCGGCCAAGCGCCCTTGGGCCAGGCTTGGGCCATTTCTGACCCGCCGACCAATTCAGGGACCAAGCACTTGGTGCCCAGCACAGCCTTGTCCCAGCTTAGCAGTGGGGCTGGCACGCGCGGCTGGTGAAGTGTGCCGGCCGTGCGGGTCACGGAGCGTGCAGGTCTGCGCTACGCGTTGGCTGGAGGGGAGGTCGGGACCTGTCGCGCAGCGCCGTGTGGATCGGGGTGCAGTCCGAGGCGCTCATCTGCCTCAAGCGGGCCCCGACAAGCCTGACCTTGCTCACCCAGAAGTGAGCCCAGCTGATTTCAGGGGACTAGCCAGAAGCATCTCCGGTCACATTGCGGGTGTGACTGCTTTAGTCCTCCTTTGTTCTCCCGGCAGCCCCAGCAGCGTTGATGTTAGGCTGGCTGGGTTCATGCTGGGGACAAAGACGGATGCACCGCCCAACGAGCCTCTTGGTGCGCTGAGGTGTGGAACCAGTTGCGGGAAGGATTGGCAGAGCTGGTCCGCAGAACCTCGCTTCCACACCTGCATGGGGCGGCTGGCCCCCCGCATTTTGTGATGCTGCTGCGTGCGCGCCGGCACGCAACCGGCTGGGGCTGTGCAGGGGAGGCTGGAGGCGGGGCAGGAAGGGGCTGGGCTGGCCTTGAAAGATGGGGGCACCGTGGGCAGGGAACAGGGCTGGGTGTTTTGCAGGGGGCTTCACTTCCCCTGTTGCACATAAGAGCTGCCATCTGCACTTAAGGACACCTGAAGTGTTGAATCTGGGGACAACACTGCAGTGGGAACAAAACCTTTCATCTTTGAAGTCTTACTCGTTTGAGACAAGGTTACTCGAAGGAACATCTTTGCTCAAACAGGGTCTGCGTCAAAGGCCTCCCTCATATTCCTGCCTATAAGCTGAATTGGTGGGTGGGCATAAGCAGGAAGGCCTTTTTGGTTGTGGCCCCACATTTATGGAATTCTTATCCAGGCCCTTGGATACAGCGTTCTGAACCAGCATTCAAAGTCCATCTCTTTCACCTTGTTTTCCCCAGTAGTTTTATGTTGCGGCTAGTTTTGAAATAGTTTTGTATTTTTTAGTTGAGCTACATAGTAGGTTTTATCGGCTGTTGATCTATTGTTGCTTTAGTTGTTCAATAATTAGATTCTGTTTACTATATTCTGTGCACATAAGCCACTCTGTGAAGGAAAGGGGGTCTCAAAATACGTCAGTAAATAATAAGTCAATCAAAACTTGCCATCCACCTTGACCCTGGGTGGTCTCTGTGTGACTGAGGAGGATTTTATAACAGAGTGCAACACGCCCGTACTCCAAAATGCAGTATATCCCCCAGGAAAAGTGTTGCATACCTGCATGTCCACACACCCAATATAACAACAGACACTTTGCTAATCTGCAGTAAAAAAAAAAAACAAAAGCAATAATTGCAGCAAGTGTTCCATCTCCTGTGCCAGGACGTGCTCCGGCTTTTCTGGCGCGCAGGCGATAAAGCAGGGAGGATGTTTCTGACCAGCTTGGACTGCTGGCATTTTTAAACAGAGGCCTTCCCTTTTTTTTAGCTTGCAGCCAGCTGCTTGATGAGTCGCAGGTGACCTTGTCCTTCCAAGAGTGGCTGGCCAGCGTCACAGAACGCATCCATCAAGCCATGCATTACCAGTTTGATGGTGAGTCCGCCCCACACGCGAGGGCCGTGTTAGACGCTGCTTGTCAGAGCAATCAACAGCCTTCTCTCTCTCGGGCGGGCTGATAGTTGGTGGTCTCTGTGGGTTGTTGCAGAGGTCTCATCTCAGGTTTGGTTGAGTTGCGACTTTGGAATGGTGAACCTCCCTGAGCGTGGGCATTGGGCTTAGCCTTTCCAGGGGCACAATCCTATGCAAGTGTAGACATAAGAAGCAAGCCCAGCGCTCCCCGGCCAGCCACGCCTTGCCAGGCTTTTTCCATCCGGACTTGCATTAAGCCGCCCTGAGGCTTCGGCAAACGGGGCGGCATAAAAATGTCTTAATAAATAAATAAATAAAATTATGCTGTAAACATGTTATGCTTTCCTCCTCTAAGGCACACTCGGTTTGTGTGTTTTTGCTCAGGCAAACCAGAGCCGCTGGTGTTCCACATACCCCAGTCCTTCTTCGAGGCTTTCCAGCAGAGGATTTCCATAGGGAGCATCAAGAAGCGGCTCCCAAATTCAACCACAGGTATTCTGGCCGTCAGAGCACCTTTTCTACCGGAAGGGGGCTGTGATGGAGTGCTGATGGAAGAGCCCAGACTGAGTTGGCTTTCCCACAAAAGGAAAGCCAAAGAAAGGTTACTCGGAAGGAGAAAGCCGGTTCCTGCAGGCGGGCCCAGCTCAGGGTCCGCTGGACCTGTGAGGCCGAAGGGAACTTCTAGAGATGGGGCTCGTCTTGCAGCTTCTGGGAACAGATGCCAGCCTGATGCCCAGACAACGCCCAGACTCCCTGAGGTCATGCTTGGCGTCACCCCAGAGGAGGAGGCAGGCCTGGGGGCACTGCCCATCCTGACGAGTGTGTGTGTGTTTCCAGCTTTTGTCCGGAAAGACGCCTTGCCCCTGGGCACCTTCTCTAAATACACCTGGCACATCACAAACATCCTGCAGGTCAAGCAGATCTTCGACACGGTTGAGGTAAGGCCACACGCACCTCTGCCGGAGACTCCTCCAGGTGCAAACAGGTTGGGGAGCCTTCCCTAGGGTAGGGGGTGGGGCCCCACCGAGCGCCTCCAGGCTTGGCTGAGAACGAGCGGGCCTGCTCCCTGCTTCTTTTGGAGAAGATTGGCTTCCACGTTCTGGAATTCTCTTGCCGTCGGCTCTTGAATCCGGTTGCTTTAGGGGATGCTTGAGCACCGAGTGCAGAGCAGCTCCTCCAGAAGGACCCTGCTCCGTCTTCCATTCCTCTTCCCAGATGCCCCTGGAGATAACGCGCAGCTTCATCCAGAACCGTGATGGCACCTATGAGCCCTTTAAGTGCCCCAAGGTGGAGGTGGAGAGCATCCCAGAGACGTTCGGGCGACTGGAGAAGCAGCCCGTCCTTCGTCCCTTGGAGCTGAAAACCTTCCTGAAAGTGGGTGAGTTTCTGGCGCAGCCGGCAGAGCGCTCCCTTTCCCACGGCGTGTATCCGGGGGGGTCCGTTCCCTGGCGCGAAGAGGGAGGAGGCGGCGAAGCGCTGTTCCCCTCCCTGTGGCTTCCTCCCACAGGCCACACGTCCCCCGACCAGAAGGAGCCGACCCCATTCATCATCGAATGGATCCCCGACATCCTGCCCCAGTCCAGGATCGGAGAGCTGCGGATCAAGTTCGAGTACGGCCACTACCGGAACGGCCACAGCGCCGAGCGCCACGGGCCGCGCCCCCCCTTGGAGCAGGCGCTGGAGCTCCTGCCGCTCACTACCATCACTTTCCCCTGAGCCACTGCCGAGGCGGCTCCTGGCACAGCCGCCCCGCGGCCGACGGCTCCACCGCCCTCGGGCGCTGCCGGGCCGGGAGCGCGTGGTGGGTGCCCTGCCCCTTCGGCGGAGGCAGCTGCTGCAGTGCCGGTAGCAGCTCACACGGCTCCCTTCCCTTCCCTTCCCTTCCCTTCCCTTCCCTTCCCTTCCCTTCCCTTCCGGCGGCACTTCTGCTGCTCCCTCCATTTCTGCCCTGAGCCGCGTCTGCCTCAGTCCTTGACGGCCGTCCTCTTGCCGCCCCCTTTTGCCAAATTGGCAGCTCACCCACAGCACGCAAGCGGGAGGGGTGGAGGGCCCACGTGTTCGGATGTCTTAGGTAATTGGTACCTATGTATTTGCGTATTTTGCAATATATTTTTAAAATAAATTAAACGGGATGAACCCACTCTCTCCTGTGCAACCCAGGCATGTGGGGCCTCGTCCCGTTCGCACAGCCCGTGTTCTCGCCTACTTCTTACGTGTGCCTTTGGAGCCAAACCCAGGCTGTAGACCAGGCACCAGTTTGGGTGTGCCGCCTGGAAGGGGGGCAGAGCGCGCCACGGCAGGGCAGTTCCGCTGGCGTGAAGCGCGTTTGGCCAGTCCCCTCAGCCCCTCTGATTCCGGATTTCCCACGTGGCGGCACACTGACAAGGGATGGTATCCTGTGGATTGCAGTGCACTTCTTACGGCCGTCCTGTCTCTGCTTTTTGCCATCCTAGAGAGTGGAGTGCATGCTCCATCCCCCCACTGAAATAAATCCCCAGGCATTTAAGAGGCCTTCACACGGAACTGTGGCACCCACCCTCCGTGCAGGGCAAGCCACCTTATGCCGCATCCCAGCACCAGGCAGCGACGCTGGGCAGGCTGGCGGGAAAGCGTACTGTGAAGATGGCAGGAAACTGAGCAAGTTGAACTAAACCTCATCAAACAGGAAGGAGGAAAGTGAGCCGGGGCTGCTGTTTCTGGCACCTTCACATGGCTTTGTCTGCATTGTCCGTAAACAAGGCAAGCTCCCGAGCGACGCTAGAAGGCAGAGTTGGCCCGAGCAGGGGCCTTGGAGTGCCGAAGATGGGGAAGCCGCCGCCGCCACGCAGCTTCCTCTTCCCATGCCCAGGTCGCCCCATGCAACTTGCAAAGTGGTGGAGAACGGAAATCGGGGAGCCAGGTGGCGCACTAGGTTGCTTTGCCCGCCCACCTTGTCCAGCCAGAGCAGCACCGCCGAGGTTCCCGCCGCTGGGGCTGAAAACGCCACCCGAGCTTGAATTGTCCAGGGTGGTGGTGGTGGCCCACCTGCTGGCCGCCATCGCCTCCTGTTAGGCAGAACGGCGGGCCCCTCGCGCGCCCCATCCCCATGGTGCTGTCGTCACTTTGTCTCTTGCCTCTGGGACCAGAAGGGGGTCTTTGCAGCAGCAGCAGCAGCCTCCAGCGAGCCATGCCGCGAGTGCCCCACACCGTTGGGGGCGGAAACTGCCACGGAGCCCCAGCAGCAAGCCGTCCTGGGCGGGGAGCGTGGGGCAGCTCAGACTCGGCCCCGGACCCCATCTGCTCTGCGGGCCTCCTAGAAATGGCCTGGGGCCACGCAAGGGAAGGAAAGCCCCCTCCCCTGGCCCCCAAGTGCTTAATGGGCAACAGCATGCCGCACTAGGAGCGGGGAGCCCCCGAGCTTGTAGTCCCTCTTGGCCACGAAGGCCCCTGAGGGACCCTGGCTAGTGAACACCCCCAGCCCGTCCTGCCTCCCTGGGGAGCGGCTGCACACCCCTTTCTGAGCTCCTTGGAGGAGGCCTGGGTGGCCGCAGGAGGCAAAGCTTATTTGCACAGAAATGCTGAGATAAGAGTTCATGATTTATAGATCCGGTGGGTGATTTGGGCTTGTTAAAATCTGAGAACTCGCCATCGCTGTTGTTTGCATGTTGCCCTTGGTTGTTGGGTTTTCTAGTCTCACCATCTTTACTTTTGCAGCCAATTGTTTTTGTTTTAGTGGAGCGGCAACTTTTTGCTGTTGGACACACAGAAGTTGCAACTAGATGAGTCCCCAAATCCCTGATTCCATTTTTTGAGATACAACCTCAATATATACCCCGGCAGATGGGCTACCCATTAAGATTAGCCAAGTATATACGATATCCTCGTCTTTGTCATTTCATTAACCATGTCTCCTGGGTTGTCTTATCAGTTGTGCACAAGAGCCTGCTTTCTGCTCCATTTGACTCAGGAAATGTCCATTCTTATTGCCAGAGATGTATTTCCCACAACAGAGATGTTTTATTAATGCAGGCTGAGTTTTAATTTAGTAAACTGAATACATGCACCTGCCAATATAGACATGAAGCCCAGGGTTATAGGCATTTATTACTGTCTAGCCGCATTCCGCCCAAGGGTGACCGGAGAGGGAGCAGGTCTGGGTCAAAGGGACGGAGGGAGGCTGAGCAGCATCCACACAAAACGGAATTGGGGGAGAACCTCTGGCAAGACCCGATCCCCTGGGAATCTTGGCAATTTTACGTAAGAGCAAACCGGTTCCACTTGGGCTTGGGGCCAGGGACGGATGAAACAGTCGCATCTGCCTTCTGCGGGTTTCTCGTTTTCTCGTCTGCTTGGCTGCATTGTCTCAGAAAGGATGCTAGGATGCTGCTGTGCTCAGTGGCCCCACAGGCTGGGCTCCCCTTCAAACAAACAGGTTCGAACCCTGCTGAATACGGGCAAAATTGAGCTTCGGCTTTATGGAATGGGTAGCAAAGATTGCAGTTCCCCATGGCAGAAAACAGCCGGAGACTGCTCGTGGGCTGCACATTTCCATTTTATTTGCCTTCCAAATACATTTTTAAGACATCTAGACGTTTCAAAGGGAAGGAAAATGAAGAACCGCTGCGGGGCACGGTTTGGAATGTGGCTTCATGCACTGCTACCCAAACCGCCCCGGGAACGACCGCCTGGCTCCTCGTCTGACATTCGCTTGCATTTCACTATGGACACACTGACACCAAGACGCTCTACCATGCGCATGCACAATCACATTCTCGACGAGCACCAGTACCTGAGGGTACTCGGGGCTGGAGCCCAGCTGCCAAGCCCCTCTGCTCTGAGCGGTCGGCGCCATGAACCGGGCACCGCACCTCTGCCGGCCTGCCCTTGCTCTCCCCTTCCGACCAAATCGGAAGATGTGCCGAGTATTTCTCCTCGCCGGCTGTTTTTACACTGCACTGGGATTCCTCTGCCCAGCAGATGAGTGGGTGGAGAGTGCTGAACTGGGACCCGGGAGACCCAGCCTGGAATCCCGCTCGGCCGCGAAGCTCACTGGGGGACTTTGGGCCACTCGGCCTGGCCTACCTCACAGGGCTGTTGTTGAGCAACATAAGTCACCTGAGTTCTTCACAAAAGGGAAACACAGGCATACAAATGCAACACAGAACATGCACACATACAGTTCTGTGCATCTCTGAAATATCTCAAGCTTACCTTAACTGCCATTCTCTGAGTCGTACACATATAATACCTTGTTCTAATTCCCCCTTTCGAAGTGCAGACTGGGCCTGCTTCATGAGCAGCTGCCATCTGCGCAACGCTTGAACCCCTTCCACCAAGTCTCTCCCCCACAGCCCTTTCTAGACCTTCCAAAGCAGGCTCCGCGGTGGGTTTCTTGAAGACCAGCCCCTGCCTCGCCAAAGGGTCTTTTCCATCCTTGAGGAAGGAACACCAAAACCCTTCACCGAACAGTTCTCAACGAGCGGCACGAAGCGGCGCAGAGCCCCAACCCAGGAGACACGCGCGAAGGGCTCCTTCAGCGCTGCATTGCTTTGGGGAGGGGGTGCTTCAACGGCTGCCCCAGCCCCGCGATGCGAGCGCCCCGAAGCCCCTGGCAGGACTCGGGCGCACCGGCTGCGCGTGCCGCACAGCAGCTCGGCCTTCCCGCAAACCGCTCCGGCCCCTCGGCTGTGCTCGGGGCCACACGGCACGTGAGCCCCCGAGGGGGGCAGGGACGGCGCGTGGCAGAGACCCGGTGGAAGGTTAGCCCGGGCGGGCAGCTACACATGTCTCCCACTACGGGACAGCCAGTAGGTGACTGCGGCACTGGTTGGACTGGGCAAAGGGAAGAGAGAGGCCAACTGGCACGAACGGAGAAGCCTCTCGGAGCGCCCTCCACGCATCTGGGTACTTCCATTTATGTTTCATAGAAAAGATTACAGAAGCTGCCCCTAAACACGTCTACAAGGAATGACAAGTCCGTAAGGGAGACCCCACTTCGTCTGGGGTGCCCCCCACCCCATTCAAAAGGCCTAACCAAGCCTGTTCAGAAAGCCTTTGAACTGCGAGCCGCCGCAGCTGAACGAGCAATGGGGAAGCTCTACCGAGGAGCCAACGCCAGGGCCGGCGAGGGGGCACCGCTGCTTCCGGTCCAGCGGGGCTTTGACAGCCATGCGACAGGCAGAGACGCACTAAGTGCAGGCCTGGCTGGGACAAGGCTGCCGGAAAACTCCACGGGTTGAATTTCCGCTTGTCGCGTTGCTGTGTGTGCTGGAGAGCCCACCGGGAGGAAAGGTGCACGTCTGTTGGCCCTGTAGTGACACCAGGGCTGATGCCCAGCAGACTTGCTGACCCCCAGAGCGAACAAGAGAGCGTGGCAAGTCCCGGGTAGCCTATTGCCGGCAGGGAGAGGGCTCAGCCGCGGCGCCTGCCCTGCCCTGCCCTGCCCTGCCCTCGGCCTGCTCTGGCCACGTCTCCGTTTTGAAAAAGATCACCCGGGGCCGGATCCAGGAACTGCCCTCCGGACAGACGGCACCTCGGCCCAATTTCAGGAATCCCATGCCCTGCGGCTCTGTCCCCCCCCCCCCCCCGCGTTCCACAGGGTCCCCGACACATGGACAGCTTTTCCGGGGTGCTGGAAGCCCTGTGGAGGCAAGGAGGGGCGGCCAGGCTGCTGCCGGAAGCCCCAGAGCCCCCGCCTCCATCTGGGCCCACCGCCTGCCGCGCATGCCTCGCACTTTAAAGTCACAAATTCGGGACAGGGAAAAACCCGAGGCTCAGCACTCCGGGAACAAGTAAGCTCAGCACATTACGTGCCTTTCCGTCTCCGAGGACGGGGCTTGAGGTCACCACCCAGTGAGGCAAAGCCTCCGGTTCCCGTCTGGACAAGACGAGGGACTAGAGGGGAAAACCGGGCCGGGGCAGAGGACGGGGCCCCAGGGCCTGGAGTGCGTGACGGGCCGCATTTCACGTGAAGGGTTCTCAGGCAGGGGCACTGCCCCCCACAGGTTCACCGGCAACAGCCCCGCTCAGCACGTGCAGGCACGGGAATCAGGTACACAGGAGCCGGGGCAAGCGTGCCCAGCGGCTGAATTCGGGGGGGGGGGTCTCCCGAGACCACCCCCTGCCTGAGAAGCCTACACGTGGTTCCCGCAGCCGTGCTAGACAATGGCTCCCACCCTCCCTGGCCAGGGTAGGGGCGATGGGATTTGTAATCCAGCACACTGCCAGGGTGGGGAAGGCTGGCCGACAGCAGCCGATCTTCCTGGCAGGGAACGCCCAGAAGGCAGGAGGCTCTGGGCAGGATTAGTTTTTGGGGACGGCTGGGGTCGGCTTCTCATCCCCAGACTCGTCCTCGCTGGCCGCCCGCAAATCCACCGAGTCCTTGGCGCCGTCCTGCCGTGGCTCCCCCTTCTCACCCTTCCCGAGGGTCACCGTGGCCGCCGAGAAGCCCTTGAAGCCGGAGAGGGGGCTGGAGGAGAAGGGGTAGCTGAGGCCAAGAGTCAGGCCGCTGCTCACTGTGCCCAGGCGGGTCTCTTCTCCTTCGAGCAACTTTCTGTGGAGGGAGGGAATGCCGGGAGCACAGAGTTAGCACGGCACACGGCCAGTGCTGAGACAGCCAGGCCAGGCCCTCTCTCCCGGGGGAGTTCTGTGAAAGCCCTGCTGGGGCACGCAGGGGCGGCCGAGCCCTTTCAGGCTGCTGCTGGCACCAGCAAGGCACTTTGCCTTCTCCCCGCCAAGCACCCAACACTCTCCACAGCTGCCCGGCGACAGGGCACGCCCCTTCCCGGCATGGCCAGGGCATCCGCCCACGCAGGAGGCGGCCCGCCAGCCGCTGCCCCCACCTGTACGCCGCTATCTCGATGTCCAGCGCCATCTTCACGTTCAGCAGGTCCTGGTACTCGCGCAGGTGGCGGGCCATCTCCCCCTTGGTCGTCCGCAGGGCGCTTTCTAGCTGGCTGATCGTCTCCTGAAACGTGCCACAGTCGGGCATTTTCTGGGACACTCGCACGGCACGGGTGGCCCCGGCCACGTAAGCAGGATGCCCTTCCCTGTGCGCAGGATCGCGGGCACGGGTGGCCACGGGCTGTTCGGTGGAGGCAGCGGCACGCGCACACTGCCCCCAGGCCCTTCCGCAGCCAGCCACGGGCCCACCTCAGGGCCTTCAAGCCCGGCAGAGGCACCTCCTCACTTCCCAGGCATCTTCCGGAAACGCACACCTGCAGCCTGCAGAACCACCTCCATACCCCAGGTGGCAGGCTTCAAGGACCACCCCACCCCTTGCCCCAGAGACGCTGGGCTTCAGCTGCCCCCTCCCCTGCTGTGGGGCAGCCCCAGCCAGGGCCCTACCTGCACTGGGAGCACTGGGGGGGCCAATGAGGCCCCTGGGCTCAGCACCACTCAATGTGGCTCTCCCCGGAGGTGAGCAACACGGCCCAGGGAGGGCCCCACCTGTGTCTGGACACCTGTGCCACCTCGCTTGAAGGCCCGGTTGTATCAAAGTCTGGGAATGACGGGAGCTGCTATCCAACAGGGACCCCGGTTGGGCAGCCCCCCTTAGCTACTGCAGCTGGAGTGCTGGCTGGGCCGTGGCCCCTTGCCCCATATTTCTCCGCCTATCGGAAGAAACGGAGGATGATCCAGAATTCCAGCTCATAAAGGACCCAGAGGGTGTGCACCTTCTTCCAGCTCAGTGTTTTCACTGGTGCTTCTCACAGCCAGAATTGTGTCCCGCAGGACCAATTTTTCCAAAATAAGCAGGTCTGCATCATTTCCCCCCAGCTTCGCTCCTTTAAGGGAGGGCGGAGGGCGCGAGCGTGGCCCTGCGCTCACGAGAGGCACCTGCGCCCTTCCTCCGGGGCCGCTCACCTGCAGGCTCTGGATCTCCTCGCGGCTCCGCTCCTCTGCCTCCTGCAGCTGCCTCTCCAGGGACTCGCTGGTGCTGCGCAGGGCCTCGATCTCGATGGCCTTGGCCTGCAGCTGCCGGCGATACTCGGAGATCTCCTCCTTGGCCTGGCGGATGCTGTCGCTGCTGCGGGCCGCCTCCTCCGTGAAGTTGGCGAACTTGGATTTGTACCACTCCTCGGCCGACTGCTGGTTGCGGGCGGAGAGCACCTCGTACTGCGTGCGGATTTCCTTCAGGGCAGCGGTGAGGTCGGGCTTGCTGACGTCGATCTCCACGGAGACCTGAACAGGCGCAGAAGGGAAAGCGCCCACGTGGCCTGAGGCTCGGAGCAGCGGGCCCTGCTCCACCGCCACCGTCCCTCGTGAGCTGGGATGTCCGGCAGCTTGCTCTGCAGCCTCAGCCCAGTGGGCCAAATCCAGCCCAGCAGGGCTGCCCGCCCTGAGACAGCCTTGCCCTGTTCCCCAACGGCCAACCCACCTGCCCTCTAAGGCTGGAATACCTCCCTTAAGGCAAGCATTTTTAGGATTCTGGCCCCATCCCCGTTTGCCCTGCCCTTTGACCTCCTCCATGAATCTGTCCAATCCCGTTAAAGCCGTCCAGACTGGTGGCCACCCCCACTCCCCGTGACAGCCAATTGCACAGTTTAACTGTGTGAAGAAGTCCTTCCTCTGATCTGCCCTAACCCTCCCCCGAGCAGATTCATGGGATGACCCCAGCAGGGGAGAAAAAGTCTCCCTGCTACCCAGCCCATGTCAAGGGACCCTTGAAGCATCAATGTGGGGCTCCCCACACTGGGGTCCCCCTTCCCACACCAAGCATTCTTTTCAGCACCTCTCTCGTGCCCCCCCTTATCCATCTGTTTTCTAAGCCGAACAGTCCCAGTGGTGGTAGCCACTGGCCACAGGGACGCTGCTCCCGCCCCCGGATCATTTTGGCTGCATTTCCCTATACTTTTTCAAACCCAATAATGCCCTTTCCCAGGTGAGACATCCAGAGCTGAGCACCATATTCCAGGGGAGGTCATCCCAAGGGCTTGCGTAAGGACTTGAATGAGATGCACAGAGAAGGAGAAACGGAGAAAGAGAATCCAGCACGCGGCTCTTTTCCAGGCAGCTCCCAAGCGGGACGGGAGCCGGCCTGCGAAGGCCACTGGGCGTATCAGGGGACAGAGGAGGAGGAAAGTGCAATGAACACCTCCTGGATCGCGAAGCATTTGCTCACGTGCCCCTTTGGCACAGGGCACACCGAGCGGCAACCAGTCCGGCGTGCGCATTCTGCACGCCTCGATAAGGAGCCGGACTGCACGGCACAGTGCGAGGGCCACAGGGCACCCACGCAGCGGCGCCCGCCAGAACAGCGGCACTCGGGGCAGTGGCGGCTTCCAAGGAGCAGCTGAGAGTGCGACGCGTGCACCTTGTGATGCCGGAGCGACGCACCGGCCCTCACGCCCCTCCGCCGGGTTCGGGAGCACCCTCAGTGCCGCAGGGCTCACCAGGCCCCCGCTGCTCAATTTCATTTCCCATCTGCCACACCCTCCCCTTTCCAGGAGTTCCGATTCCCGGGAAAACTAACAGAGGTACAAAGGGGGGCGCAGAGACAGCAGGCAGCCAAGCAGAAGCTGCTTGCTTCCGAGCCTTTCTTCCACAGGGGAAGGCAATCGCTTCCTCTCCTGGCCCATAAAGCATCAGCACACCGACACAGATGTGCATATCCAGACACCATGACCAGCTGCATCCTGTGGCTTATTGAACACAGAAAGAAGGAAAAGTCACACTTACAGAGCTTTGGATCCTACCCGGTAAAGGAAGCGTGGCTGCAAACGGGCATTTTCAGGGGCAACCCTTCCAGGTGCCAGCGAACACTGTGGCACAACCGGAGTGGGACCCAGCCCGGCTCTCTGTCATGCCTCCTCCTGGTGCCCCCCAGGACCCCCTTCGCCCTGCTTGTGTGCTGCCCTGGCACGAGCTTGGGCGAGGAGCAGCGCCCGGCCTCCAGCAGGAGCAGCTGGGCAACCCCCGCGCATCACGCGAAGCTCCCCAGCTGCCGTGGGCTCAGGGGGGCGCTGCGCGGGTCGCCCCCGCGGGGAGAATAAGCGGAGCCCTGGCCCGCGGGAGCCTCAGCTGCCGGCCGCGGTGCCGGAGAGTCGCCCCAGCGCGTGCCCGCCGGAGCCCCGAGACCCGAGCAGAGCTCCGCCCACGCTGCGCCTCGCCCCGCCAAAGCCCCCCGGCAGCAGGCGGCTGCGCGGGGGCGGCCCGGGAGGGGCTCGCCGGCCCCTCGCGCCGCCTCACCGGGAGCCGCGCCGCGCGCCCGCGCGCGCCCCACCTGCGCCTCCCGCAGCTCGGCGCGCAGCTCGGCCACCTCCTCGTCGTGGACCTGGCGCAGGAAGGCGATCTCGTCCAGCAGCGCCTCCACCCGCTTCTCCAGGTCGAGGCGCGCTAGGGCGGCGCGGTCCGCGTCCCGGCGCGCCTCGCGCAGCGCCCGCTCGGCCTCGTCGCGGCGCTGCGCCTCCCGCGCCGCC